AGTGATTGTCCAAGCAGCCTATTTTATTTTTAATAGCTCGTAGTAGATGAGGGTGTGCTAAGACCAGTCGGTGTTCCAAAGCAGGGGAATCTCAGTCAGAACCTAGGTTCAGGCTGATTGGAAGCCAGACCCTCAGGCAGAAGATTTTAAAACTTGCAAATATAAACAGTGCTGTGGGGCTGAAAGCATAGGCCAGAGCCAGGTGATGTAGAGGTGTCCCCTGGAGGGAGCCTCAGTTTTATAGACCCATATTTTTATTTCCCTGGTAACAAGCTAGTCATGATTTATTTTTATTTAGTAGTGTCTTATTTTTTTCAGTTAAGTTCTCTGAAATTATTTTTAATGCTATGAGTAAGCAAGCTCCAAACACCATAACTAAGTGAGGTTTGATGTTTGCTTAAATATAAAACTGACACATGACTGCAGACTATTAGGAGACACTCAAAGTCAATCCAGGGATTTGAGATCAAGTGGCTAGCAAGTTAAACCCTAAAATTCACCATGGTCAATTTTCAGGATGCTGAGCCATTTTAAGTAATACAGATGAGATTTATGCAAAACCAGAGCACCAAACCGCAGTCTGAAAATATTAAACGGAAAATTCCAGAAATAAACAATCCATAAATTTTAAATTGTGAGCCTTTCTGAGTAGCGTGATGAAATCTCACGCCCTCCTGCTCTGTCCCAGCCGTTATTCAGCTAGCAGCCGTCGTAGTTATCACATCGACTGTCACTGTGTTACTGAACCACACTTGGGTCCACTTGCCCACGGACAGTAAAACCAATCTACTTGACACCGGGTTATGGTGAAGGAAAGTGTAGTGTTTATTGTAAGGCATCAGACAAGGACAGCTAATGTTCAAAAACACCTGAACTCCTCAGTGGGTTTCAGGGAGCATTTTAAAAGGCGAGTTGAGGAAGGGGAATTCCAGGGTAGGTGATCAGCTCGGACACAATTCTCTGATTGGTTGATGTGAGGTAAGAGGGCAGTGTCACAGGGGTTAACATTATCAATACTGAAGCTCCTGTCAGTCTGGGGGCTACGTGCTCATCATGGTCATCAAGTAGTTAACTTCTCCCATTTAGTGGTGGTTTTAGCATTTGTAAAACAACTCGGGAAATGTGCATCAGATACTGTTACCTAGGTACTTCACAGAGGACCCAAAGCAGAGGACTCGGGGGGAGGGGTCTTTCCGGGGAAGACCCCGTAGTTCCTGCTTGGTTACTACAGCATCACAGTGCTTGTGTTCAAGGAAGCCTTATTAATGGCCCCAAAGTGCAAGAGTAGAGATGCTAGCAATTCGGATATGTCAAAGAGAAGCCATAAAGTTCTTCCTTTAAGTGAAAAGGTGAAAGCTCTTGACTTAGTAAAGGAAAAAAAAAATCCTATGCTGAGGTTGCTAACAACTAGTAAGAACAAATGTTCTATGAAACTGTAAAGAAAGAAAAAGAAATTTGTGCTAGTTTTGCTGAACCTCAAGCTGCAAAAGATATGGCCACAGTGTGTGATAAGTGCTTAGTTAAAAGATGGAAAAGGCATTAAATTTGTATAATAAAATATTTAGAGAGAGAGGGCACTTTCACATAACTTTTATTACAGTATATTGTTATAATTGTTCTATTTTACTATTAGTTATTGTTGTTAATCTCTTACTGTGACTAATTTATAAGCTAAACTTTATCATAGGTATGTATGTATAGGAAAAACTTTATACATAGTGTCCAGTACTATCCTTAATTTCAGGCATCCACTGGGGGGTCTTAAAACATATCCTCCACAGATAAGGGGGATATACTTATATGCTTAGGTATTTAATATTTTTTCATGCTCTTACAATGGAATTCATTTTCAAATTCATTTTCAAATTCTTTTGTTTTAGATACATGGAAATACAATTTTTGTTTATTGATCTACCCAGGGACCTACCTAGCTAAAATAATTTACTAATTCTATTAGCTTGTATGTAGATCCTTTTGACTATTTTTTTCATCTACATATTCTGGTTAACCACAAGTAATAATAGTTTTATTAAAAAAAAAACAAAACAAAAAATACCAACCAGGGCACACGACATAAAGTTGGGGCACCTGATGTAAAGCCAGGGGACCTGACATAAAACTGGGCATGTGACTATATTTCTCCACATAGTAAGTTGAATGATCTGCTAATTTAATTCACAATATCAATAAATAAAGGAAGATTTTATAATATTGAAACATCCTTGAACTCTTGGAATGAACCCCAACCGGGCTCTTATTTCTTTCCCACAATTTTCAAGAGGAGACACAGGCAGAACCATCTTTACTCTGTCATCTTAAAACTGGAAACACCAAAAGAGATTTTTTAATGTGAGAAGACCATCAGGGGAAGCCTGGGATTTCGAGGACAGAGGGTCCAGGAGAATAAGCCTTAGATCTGAGTGTGAAAAAAAGTGGCTATAGGCCCAGTATAGAGATGGACTTGCAGAACACTGAACTATTGTGTGATTCTTTTCACCAGTCCTTATTTCTAAGGGTATTAGCTAGGATTTGGGCTGCTAGGGCTGATATAGCAGCTCCATGACTCTTCCTTCTGGCTGCTCTGTCATCTTCAGGGGCCACATCCTCATTCATAGTCCAAGATGCTCACACCCCTGCCAGCATTCCCTCGCTGAGGGGCAAGGGAGAGCATGCCTCTACTCTTTAAGACCAAAGCATTGCTTTTTCTTATAGCTCATTTGCTAGAAGTTACTCACATGTCCACACTTTGCTATAAAGGGGGCTGGGAAGTGTGTTATTTTTTCTGGACTGTCTTTGCCTTGCTAGAGATTCTGTTACATATAAGAAGGGAAGAACAGAGGTTGGCAGACGAGGAGTGGTCCCTGCCTCTGCAGGCCTTCTGTAGAGCCTTAGAAACTTGGCATGCACCTGTCCTAGCACCCTTAGTAGTAGAAGATTCATGATTATTTAGGAGGACTTATTTTTACTTATTTGTAAAATTAGGCAACTGGTTTATGATCCAACACTTGGGGCCATCATTTCTGTGATACTGTGATCTAATTCCTTATTTCTTTAGACGAGTCCTCATTCCTAGCTAAAGGTCTAGGAAGAAGTGGAAACAGCAGTTCTTGCCAAGAGCAATGTAATCCCCAGCTATCACTGTGCCCAATCATGAGACCACTTTTCTATCTGAAGGAGATGAGCCATGTAAAGTGCTCATTTTGGGCAACAGTGATGATCAGAGTCAGGGCGAAGCAGAGATGAGTTCCTGGTCAGTGTCACGATCCCAGGCATAAGACGTATCCTACCTCTAGTGGCACAGAAATAAAGAAAGCTTCTACCCGGGAGTTGGGGCTGAAGCCTTTGGATTATGTCAGCAACCAACGTTTATCGCACACCTCCTTTGTGCCAGGCCTTGTGCTCTAGCTGAGGACAATGGTGTTGAACAAGATAGATATAGTTCCTGCTCCCTGGAAGGAGGAGAGAAAACAGAGATTTAAATAAACTGTCACCATTGAATAATTACACATGTGCCATGTACTGAAAAGTACAGGGTGATGTTGGCATGTGACTGGGGACCCGCCTTATTCTGGGTGGTCAGGGAAGACTAGCTTCCCATGGTAAATGGGATATGAGCTGAGACTTCAAGTAACAGTCAAGACAGAGGGTGAGAATGGGAAGTACATTCTAGGTTTAGAGAACAGCATGTTCAGCAAGTGGGGCTGAAGTTGAGAGGAGAATGGGAGTGCTAAGAGGCTGGAAGAGAGTGAGGGCTGGCCACCTTCCAGTGCAGCAGCACTGAGGGATCAGAGCTGAAAGAACAAAGGCCAGCTTGGTCACGGTTGGGAGGGAACTTAAGGGTGGTCAATCCAGTGGCTTTTGGTGCTGTCCCCCTCCCCCAGGCCTCATTTTGGAATTTTATGGGGCCATTTTTGTCACAAGATTTGGGGGTGTTGGATGGGAGCCAGGGGTACCACAAATCCTGCAATGCACAAGACAGACCTGTCTATTGAAAAAGTTTTCACAGACTTTCATATGTCTTGCTGAACATTCACATAGGTAAAAACTGTTCATAAATTACCTGAATCTAGAGCTTTTTTTAAAAAAAATCAAGATGAACGCAGTGTATCTTTGCACAGTTTTAACATAACTGAGTCTCCAGAAATATAACTACTGTATAATCAAGAGAAGATTCTGTGATCACCATTTTTTTTTTTTTCTATTTATGCCCATCTTGCAGGATCTTACTTCCTGGACCAGGGATCAAACTCGTGCCGTGCCCCCTGCAGCTTGCATGCGCTGAGTTCTAACCACTGGACCGCCAGGGAAGTCCCTGTGCTCACCATTTTGGATAACAACTTGTGATTTTTGAAACACCAATATGAGATACAGCACTGTGGCATTCAGGCACGTTCTATGTGTAGAACAAATGATCTGACCACTTATTAGGTCTCCTATACCAGTCACGACCAAACCTATACGTTCTGAAATATATATTTTAAATTATAATTTTCCTTTAATTTCTCCTTTATTACATAAATGTTAGCACATAACATTACTTTTTATAATGCACGTTGTTTATACTGTCTATGATCTTCTAAGCCATTACCTATGAGTTTCATGCCAGGAGAGTATGCTGGTCATTAGGAAATATTTGTTCCAGAAAGGGGGCCTTGGGTTTGACAGCATGCGATCCAGGCGTCCAGTCCGGAAACTCCCAAATCTGGTTGCACGGCAGCTTTACTAAGATACAAATCCCCGGCGCCACCCCTGGTTTGGGCCCAGCGCTCGCCGCATTCTTGTCTTCCCTAGCTCACCGCGAGGAGCAACTGCTTCCTCGTTGCGATCTGCATCGGGGAGAAGGGTGCCAGGCTTCGGAGTACCAGGGTTTCGGTTGCAGGGGGCGGGGCCAGAGCACCGCCGAGAAGGAGCGAAGCTGCTCCTAGAGAGGCTCGGCCGGGGCCTGGTGACGCACTTCCGGCCGCCCGCCGCCGAGCAGCCCGCTTTGGAGGTGAGTACGGGCTGCGGGAGGCGGGGGCGGTGCCTGGTTCCGAGGCTCTGGGTGCGGCTGGGACGCTCCTTCCCCCTGCGTTGGCGGTGGGTTTCCTGTCGGGGGTGGTCCTCTTCCCCCCTCCTCGACTCCCGCTTTGGACTTGGTGGCCGATGACGTTCTGTCTCGTGGAAGGCGAAGCCCGGGTTACTGCCACAGCCACGAAGCCGCGAGCATTTAGCCCTTTTGGGAAGATGCTACTCGTCTTTTGGGAACTTGTGTTGGAGCAGCCAGGGGGTAGAATATTTGCAGGGGTGAAGCGGTCTGAGGTGATATGAGTCTTTTGACATGCTGAGGTCGTGCAGGGGCTTTTACCTGCACGTTTTATGCATTTCAAGTATGGACTGTATGCGCCCCGCCCTCCTAACTCAGGGTGTGAATCGAGGCCAGTGGGGGAGCAGAAAAAGCAGAGCCCCTCCAGGCTACAGAAGAAGCCCGACTTTTGAGGGCACTGTCTGCAGGAGCCGTGTCAGTTCCAAAAGGTAACCCGGCCCAACTTCTCTTGGGCGGTGGGATGACAATGACCTGGGAATGATTTCTACAATGTAGAATATACTGATTTACTTAGTCCTAGAATACACAAAAAGTTCCAGAATGACTCATTCATACCCTCATGAAAGCAAGTTTACAAAAAAAAATACTATAAAACAGTAACGAAAACATGAAGTGTGGCTAGTAGTGTATTCAGAGGAAATTTTGTGGCCTTATAGGTTTTAATTGCCAAATAGGAAAGAATGAAAATAGATTTTAAAAATCATGCAACCTCAAGAAGTCTTTGGCTACAGGTCTTTTTAGCCTTAGAGAATTTAGTTAAAATACTGTTTTAAAGAGTTACTTAGTTCTTTTCTTTCCCATCACTTCACTGTGGTTATGCTGTGGTGTAGTTAGGCTTATTTACTGTTGTTTGTATTTTTTGGACGTCGTCACCCCCCCATCCCATTCTGGTTGGTTGATTTTTATACATACGTATAGATAGATAGATAGATAAATACAGGTATAGATTTGTGAAACATTACTGTGGTTATGAAAGTCAGAACAAAAAGGCACAGGGAAGTATCATTTCCTTCTCATCCCTTCTGCACTGTTTCCTTCCATCCTGTTTCAGTTCCCAGGTTCCTTTCACCTACTTCCCATCCACACCTGAGGCCCCTATTCTCCTTAGTTTCTTGTTTTTCCTTCTGTTTCTTTTTGCACAAATCACCAGATACACATGTATTTTCTTATACTCCCTTTTTTTCTTACACAGAAGATAGCACACTGAAAATCATTTCATATCATAGAGATAAGTATGTATATTTTAAATGTTATGCATCTAGCATGGCATTTATGGAGCATAGTGGTAATGTGAGCACGCATTAAACACACCACACCATTAAGAAGAGCACTGCCCATACGGCTGCATCTGTGTGCTCCTCCCCAACCCAGTTCCCACATTCTCACCCCTAGAGGTAACAGCTCTCTTGAATTTTGTGTTAATCATATTTTTGATTTTTGATAACACATATCATATTTGTGTTAATCATATTTTTAAAAATGATTTTATCATATATACATGTGTCTGTAAATAATGTGATTAATTTTGTTTTTGAGCTTTATGAAGATGGCATTCATGGTGTCTGTAGTCTTCTGGGACTTGCATAACTCAATATTAATGTTCCTAAATTCATCCATATTTTGTGTGTAGCTGTGAGTCGTTCATTTTTGCTACTGGGTAATGTTCCATTGTAAAAATGGTATGACAGCTTATTTGTGTATTCTCAGTGGACATGTGAGTTGTTTCCAATTTTTTGCTATTAAAATACTGCTGATAATAATTTTGTATGTATATCACCTACATATGAGAGTTTCCCTAGGGTATAAGTTTTAAAATTTAGGCATGAATATTGAATTTATCCAACACTTTTGACATCCACTGAGATGGAGAGTATGTTTTTCTTTGATTTATTAATGTGGAAAGTACAATCTGTGCTAATATTGAACTTTACTTGCATTCATAGGATGATCCCTCTTAGTCATGATATGTCACATTAAGGAACTACTGGAGTCTAGTCCTCAATATTTAGGATTTTTGCATCAGTATTCATAAATGAGACTAGTTTATGGTTTTTGTATCCATATTTTGCTGGCATCATAAAAAGGTCTGGGAAACTTACTTTGCTGTTCTCTGCTACAGTTTAAGTAGTGCTAGAATTATTCATTTCTTAAAGATTTGAAAGGCTTTTCCCATGATACATAAGGGCTCAGTGTTTTGTGAGAGTTCACTCTTTACTGGCTCTCTAAACAATTAGGTAAAAGTAATCATGGGTTATGGAGAAAAATCTATATAATAAAATTGGTAGAGTTGATTTATTAGATTCAGATAGATTATATGTTCTTCCATCACAGGATAAGTTTTCTTTTTTTAAATTAATTTTATTGGAGTATAGTTGATTTACAATGTTGTGTTAATTTCTACTGTACATAACAGTAATTCATTTATATAGGTATATGCACATATATATACACACATTCTTTTTCATATTCTTTTCCATTATGGTTTATCACAGGATATTGAATATAGGTCCCTGTGCTATAAAGTAGGACCTTGTTGTTTATCCATTCTACATATAATAGTTTGCATCTCCTAGTCCCAAACTCCCAGTCCATCCCTCCCCCACCGCCCTCCCCCTTGGCAACCACAAATCTGTTTTCTATGTCTGTGTTTCTCTTTCACAGATAAATTCATTTGTGTCATATTTTAGATTCCACATATAAGTTTTATAATATGGTATTTGTCTTTCTCTTTCTGACTTACGTCACTTAGTATGATAATCTCTAGGTCCATCCATGTTGGAATAAGTTTTCTTTTTAAGCATCCATGGAATATTTTTAAAATGGACACTGCAGCCACAAAAGAAAACCTTTAAAAATCTGTAAAGCAGAAGTAAATAGATCAGGTTACTTAAACACCATGCAATAAAGCCAGAGAATAAATTAACAACAACAAATTATCCTGAACAGTTCTTTGTCCAGAGACAAAACACAGTTGCTGACGAGTTATAAAATAGTAATTAAAACATGAAATATGAAAAGCCTCTGGAATGTAGGGAATAATGTATTCAGAGGAACATTTATAGGTTTAGATTGCTACACAGCAAGAATGAAAATGAATGAATCATGTAGCCTCAAGAAGGTAGAAAAAAGCTTTTTGTAGTCTAGCTTCCCCCGAAAGCAGAACATAGGACAGAGATTTGTGTGCGGCCAGTTTATTTGGGAATGTAGTCCCAGGGGCAGAGTGAAAGACAAGGAGAGTGCAATGGAGAAGGAGGGACAGCCAATACAAGGATGTGCTGTCAGGCTGGCCCCTCCACAGGCGACTGGTGCTCTGACTTGCAGGATCTTTGAGGAGCCTTGGAATCTCATGGCTGCCCACATGGGGGACTAAAGCTGGAAACGTTTATCCACTGACCTCTGTCTCCTGTTGGTCAGTGGTAGCATCACAGGCATTAACTCCCCTATCCTTCAGGACCCAGCAGGTGTCCGCAGATGTCCCACACAGGACAGAGAAGCCCTAGGGCAGGAGCCAGGCATGTGTGGTGTAGACCCTTGAGGAGGCATTTGTAGGTGGTACTTGTGCAGAGCTGGTCAAAGCCTCTGGAAGTGGACTAAGAGTGGACAAGAGGATTTGGTGAGGTACATAAGGTGTCTCTTACAGAGCTAAAAAACAAATTTTAAAAAGCAGAGTTTAATTTAAAACAAGTAGAGGGGGCTTCCCTGGTGGCACAGTGGTTAAGAATCCACCTGCCAATGCAGGGGACACGGATTCGAGCCCTGGTCTGAGAAGATCCCACATGCCGCGGAGCAACTAAGCCTGTGCGCCACAACTACTGAGCCTGTGCTCTAGAGCCTGTGAGCCACAACTACTGAGCCTGTGCGTCACAACTACTGAAACCCGTGTGCCTAGGGCCCGTGCTCCACAACAAGAGAAGCCACCACAAGGAGAAGCCCAGGCACCGCAACGAAAAGTAGCCCCTGCTTACCGCAACTAGAGAAAGCTTGAGCGCAACAACGAAGACCCAGTGCAGCCAACACTAAATAAATAAGTTAATTAATTTTATAAAACCAAACAAACAGGTAGAAAAGGGAGTGGTGTTCTAAATAGAAAAGCTAGTTTTTTGAAAATAAAACATTAAACTAGATAAACCATGGTTCAGCCTAATGTTATTAGTCTGCTTGGGCTGCCATAACAAAATATCATACACTGTCTGGCTTAAACAACAGAAATTTATTTCTCACAGTTCTGGAGGCTGGAAGTCCAAGATCAAGGTACCAGACGATGTGGTTCTTGGTGAGGCTGCAGGTGGCTGCCTTCACTGTGTCCTCACAGCAGAGACAGCTCTGGAAGACTCTTCCTCTTCTTACTAGGGTACCCGCCCTATCAGATTATTACCTTGTTTAACCTTATTACCTCCTCATGGGTCCTGTCTCCAAATACAGTCACATTGGAAATTAGGGCTCCAACATACGAATTTTGGGGGGACACATTCAGTCCATAGCATTAACTAAGGCTAAAAGGTCTAGAGAGCATATATATTCAAAGAAGAAGTAGGAAAAGCAAGGTATACCTCAAGGTATGGAGGAAATGAAAAAAAATCATGAGCCACTGTTTCCCATAATTCTACACTCAAGTTTAAATTCTGGAAGATATAGACAATATTTTAGGAAAATATAAAATTTCAAGACTGACTTTGGGAGCACTAAAAATCAGAAAATAACCGGTCCATGTGGTCTTGAATACAATGAACAAGGAGTGCTGGGTCATGGGACCAGGGACGGGATGCTATAGTGACCCCCTCTCTCAGGCAGCTGAGGCCTTGGCTTCTTTGCCATCAGAAGGCTGGAAGGTATGAGGAGCCATCCGGTACCTCACTTGTGGCCTAGCTTCCTCACAGTAAGCCTGGGCTGGGCAGGAGCCTAACCTCCGAAGATCTCTACAGAGGTATCAGGACTCTTGAGAGCAGTCAGCTGTGTGAGGGAACGGGCATTATGGGAGAGAGCAGCTGTCTCTTTCTCCAGGAGGTGCCTCCCTGGGGCCTGACTCAGGCCTATGTGCTGGGGCTGCAGCCCGTCCAGCTGGCTTCTCTTGCAGTATAATAGAGAGGGATGCTTGTTTAGAGCATCGTGTTGCTACACGAGTCTTTGTTTTATTATTCTTTAGACTCTGCATTTTATGCACACTCGTGTGTGTGTATGATATGTGTCCAGAATTGTAAAAATCCTAGGGTCCGTGGCAGTGAGTGTCAGTGTCATGGCCAGGAGGAGCCCTGGGCACAGAGCCAGTGAACAGATCACTCCTTCCCATGGCAGCTCCTGCTTGCACTTCTGTCTGGATGCTGGCTGCCTGCATCTCAGATCTTCTGTGAGGGGCTGTATTGTTCGTGGTGGGGGTGGCTTGTCTCACACCTGTCCCCCTGTTTTCCCTCAGCTCCAGTCCTTCTCTGAGAGGGAGACCAGGTGATGGCAGCCATGCTTCTGACAGCCTGGCCCCAGGTGAGCTGTGGGTCCTTCAGCTCTTCCTCTGAGCAGTTTCACATTGAAGAAAACTGAGAAGGGAATCTGGTGAGCCTTTCTATGAAAGCTGGAGGGGCCCTCCAAGCTTCTGCCTGCCAGATTGGAGCTTGTGGGAAGAGCGATGATATGGAGGGATAGGGGCCAGAGACCAGGACAGGCAAGACAGAAGTGTCTGGAAGGCAGAAATATAGTCTTCTGCACACCAGTTTGCTTTGCTCCCCCAGCAGAGGGCTTTGGTGAATGAGAGACATGGAAGCTGCCCATGAATGGAAGAAGATAGCAGGGGACGAGGATTCCAGGGAGGGGGGTGTAGATAAAGAGGAATAGCAGGACCAGATCCACATAAAGAATGGCTGTGCCTCTAATTCCAGGGGAAGGGGGCATAAGGAGAGTGGGATCAAGGGAGGGAAAAAAGAAAGTCCTGTGTCTCATTGTGTCCTGGAGAGGCTTTCAGGGCTTGGGGTGCAGTGGCCAAGCTTTAGGTCTCTGGATCCTCTCCCCAGAATAACATGCAAACGAAAATTTCCATACGATTTCAGGGATTTCATGGACCTCCATGGGCTACAGTTTGGGAATAATCATAGTCACAGTAACTCCAGTTACACCATTTGAGGCTTACTATGCCGCAGGCACCATACTAAGCACTTTACATGGATCACTCAGTCCTGACAGCCGCCCTGGGAGATAGGCGCTGTGCTGCGTTCATTCTACCACAAAAGAAACAAAGGCAAAGGGGAGTGAAGTGACTTGTCATTGTGTGACTTAACTGTTCAGTCCTATGACACGTATGGAGCCAGTGAAGTTAACGTGGTCAGGTTTCTGATGCCTGTGTGGGGAATAATTTTGAGGAGGGGTTTAAAAGCAAGGTGACCACTTCAGAAAGAGTCCTATTGGTCTAGGTGACATAGGCTTCATTAAGGCAAGTAGTTGCTAAAGAGGGAGACCCAATTCAAGTAATGCTTAACATAAAAATCTCTAGGAGGAAGAGTCAAAAGATTGGGGTGGGGTAAGGGGGAGGGAGGAGTCAGGAACGAATCCCCAGGTTTCTTTCCTGCGTGGATGGTGGTGCGTGACACCAGCTGAGGTTTGAATTAAGGAGGAGGCACCAGTCGTGGGCTAAAAGGGGATGGTGGGCGACAGCGAAGGCATTTCATTTTGTACCAAGGATTCCTTGTCTTATCCAAGTCACACGATGAATGACTCACAGAAGTGCCCACAAGTTGGACTAGAATTGTTGATGGGTGGAGGCCCGTAGAATCAAGCAAGACAGGTCCTGGCAGAGAGCAGCTGAGAGGCAAATCGCCGCCAGTGTGTCCCCAAGGTTGTTACAGAAGGCCGAGGTGGGTAGAGCGAGGGCAGCCAGAAGAGGCAGCTGCCCGGAGGGGAGGGGGTGGCCCTGGGAGCGGCTCGGCCATCAGCCCTGATGGTGGAGCCTGTGCTGAGCGCCGAGTGCCGAGTGATGCAGAGGAGCAGCTGAAAAGATGGCTGACCTCCCTTCTTTCCCAAACCTCCTTGGAGAGACAGTGAAGCCTTGGGTGAAGTTGGACAGGATGAGGCTTGACTGGGAGAGGGTAACAGAAAATGGGTTTTTGGCGAGAGCCATTTGCAAGCAGGATGGGCTGCCTGCTCTCACCCCTCCCTCCACCTCCACGGTGCCCAGCCGATCTAGGCAGCACTGAGCTTTCTCTGCTGAAGGCGCTGGAGCAGAGGCTATGCAGCCTTTTGTAGGGGGGTCTATGATAGAAATCAGGTGGGACTGGGTGAGATGGAAGCCATGCCTGTTCTTTGGGCGTGGCTTGAGGTTTGAGGGTGAGGGCGAGGGCGAGGAAGTGAGAAAGCCTGTGGGTGGGTCCAGAGCTACTTCCCCCAGTGAGGGCACAGCCTGACTGAAATAAAGCAGTTGCGTTAGGGGAACTTGGTCATGGGAGGTGTTTTTCTTTCATCTCAACTTATGTCATCCTTTGTAAGTGTGAAATATGGCATGAGGTTTCTCTGCTGTGAGCCAGGTCTGATATTCCATGCTTTACCTTCCAAGTGTTTTTCTCAAATCTTTCCCCCTGTTATTAATTTTGTGCTCTTCACAAGCCCCTCCTCAAGCCCTCATACTGCCCTCTGCCCCTCACCTAGGGCATGAGCCATGGAATTGGCCCCTAGGGCAGCAGGAACCTGTTGTTTCAGAAGTCGGTGACCTTTGAGGACGTGGCTGTGTACTTCACCCAGACGGAGTGGGATGGCCTGTCCCCTGCACAGAGGGCTCTGTACAGGGATGTGATGCTGGAGAATTATGGGAATGTGGCCTCCCTGGGTAAGGCCTTTCTCCCCCGGGGACTCAGACTCTGCTGATTAGGGTTTCCTGGCTTCCTTTCCCCTTACTGGTTGCAGGTGGGGCCTCTGGTAATCCTTCACTGAGTGGGAACCTCAGGGGCTGATTCCTAATCCCCTAGACCCGGGGTTGCTGGGAGGGGTGAACCCCAAGCCCTTTTTGGGCCAATATAGGACTTTACTGGGACTGTTGTGCACTCTTGATCCCCCCGATAGAGGCTGTGTTTTGGACACAGTGTGGAAAAAAAGTAACTTCCTGTTCTACAGCATTACCTTCAGGTTCCCCCTCACCCTACCTGGATATCTTGAGTGTTTCCAAGGATCTCGGTGTACTTGTAATATTTTAGGCCCTGGTCAAAAAATGGTACCTATCCCTTTAGGCAGAATCTCCCTGTTTGCCCTGCATGAGGTCTCACAGTCTGGGCCCTCCCCAACTCCTCCCGCATCTTCTCAAGCTTCTTCCTCCCCCCCCCCCCCCCCCCGCCACTTTCCCATAGTTCTTAGGCACGGGACCCTCTGGGGCTCTTTCCTTCCCTCCGCATTGCTGACACAATCTGAGAAGAGGTTTAGGAAATCAGCTGTGGGAGATTATTCACCTATCTTTCCTATTTCCTTTCCCCAAAACAGGATTTCCCCTTCTCAAACCTACTGTGATCTCACAGCTGGAGGGAGGAGGTGAGCTGGAGGGCCCATCTCCACTGGCCTCTGGAACAGGCACAGGCCCCCAGGGCCTCTGGACTGGTAAGGAGGCACACATTGCCCATTATGCTGGAAAAAGTAATCCTTTAGGAAGAAAGTCAGCTTTAGCAGCATATAAAAGTGCCACATTTATTGGCTAACCGTACAGAGTAACATTTAAATTTTTAAAAATTAATTAATTAATTTTTGGCTGCGTTGGGCCCTCGTTGCTGCACGCAGGCTTTCTTTTTTTTAGTCGCAGAGAGTGGAGGCCACTCTTGGCTGCGGTGCACAGGCCTCTCACTAAGGTGGCTTCTCTTGTTGTGGAGCACAGGCTCTAGGCACACGGGCTTCAGTAATTTTGGCACATGGGCTCAGTAGTTGTGGCTCGCAGGCTCCAGAGCTCAGGCTCAGTAGCTGTGGCACATGGGCCTAGTTGCTCCTCGGCATGTGGGATCCTCCCGGACCAGGGCTCGAACCTGTATCCCCTACATTGGCAGGTGGATTCTTAACCACTGCGCCACCAGGGAAGCCCCATTTAAATAATTTTTGATGATTTCTGGAGATAGCAACAGTTGAGACCTTTCTGAGTATTTTCATAGTTTGCTATTTCTTTCTAATTCCAAGAAGAGATCTTTTTTTCAAATGCTTTATTGTAATTATTTTCAATCCTAATTTTGGAATGCTACCTTTCTCAGACAAAATGAATGGATTCAGTACTTTTTTCAGGTCCTTGCTACTTTCTAAGCACTGTCCACTTAATGTGAAGTGTACAGAATTAAAAGTCTTTTTACTTAGACTTTGGAGTAGACTTTCTGAGTTCCAATCCCAACTGTGCTACTTCTTAGTTGTGTGACTTTGAGCAGGTCAGTTATCTGCATTCTCTAAGAGTTAGTGTTCTCACCCTTGAAAATGGAGTAATAATTACAAAATGAGGTAATGGTGCTAGGTTTGATGATAAAATGAGATAACATGTACCAAGTGCCTAGCTTATAGTGTGTGCTCAGTTAAATTCTGTTTTTATTATTATTATTACTATTATTATTATTATTGGGGTGGGGAGAAATCTATATATAATAAGCTCTAGGAAATAAGGTGGGAGGAAGTAATGCTGTCAATTTGGTGCTTCTCAAAATATGAACAAATGCATCACCTGGGCATCTTGCAGATGTGCAGATTGTCATTCAGTTAGTTTGGGGCAGGGCCAAGATTCTGCATTTCTGTTAATGCATTCCCAGGTAATGCCAGTGCTTCTGGTTCCCAGACCACTCTTGAAATAGTGAGGTTCTCATTGGCTCACGCAGAGTAGCTGCCAGGTGATTTCCCATCTCCCATGAGGCCCAGCTTTACTTCCTGCCTTTGGGGTCCATAAGATACTCTTGCATGCTTTTGATGAATCCTCTTTTTTTAAAAGATGGTTTCAGTGGCTTTTTGTTCCTTGTAATCATTCAACCAGATGTTCACTGACCACGGAAGACATGTTTTGGAAATGGAGAGCTTAAAGTGCTTGACATATAGAGGGGGATGAAAGTGATATTGTGGAGATTCTTAGTCAAAGAAGTCTGGATTTCATTCTGTAGGCAACAGACAGTCCTGAAGTCTTTGAACAACCCATCATGATGTCAGGTGAGGATAGAAACTTTCATCTAGTCAGTGTATGTAGGTTAATTGGGGTCAGGAATCAAATGGGTTCTAGGCAGGAAGAAAGGGAAATCACAGGGCACAAGACCCATGTCAGCAGTGTTGATTTTTTAAAAAAATTTTCCAGGTAATTTGAATTTTTTTCTTTGTAAGTTTCTGATACTACAGATGAATATTATTTCTATAATCAGGAAAAGACCAATATTATTTTGAAAATGGTTGCTAGGGAAGTCCAGGTCATTTGGGTCTGTTGAGGACAATTATAATGAAATACTGGGGTAGGGGGCATATTACATGTGGCTGAGGAGAGATGAGAGATGAAAAAATAAAGGAAGCATTTTGGGGCCAATTTTGAGAAATTTGAGAATAAATGTAGAGATCATTGGTTCTACTAGGACTATGGGATTATAGAAAGACTAATAAGATTATAGAAAGAATTTTAGGGAGTGACCAATTTTAGGATTGAGGGAAGAGGTAGAAGGAAAGGCAAGGAGAATGCTGCAGTGTTCTGGAGGGGTGGGAAGAGATGGGATCAAAGGGATCAAATGGGCCTGAACAGAGCCTTTCTGAAGTAGAGAAAAAAGAAGTTAAAGGAGAAGTTTTGGAAAGCCTAGAGTTTAAGTTCTAAGAAAATAAACAAGATTTGTTCCCATTTGCTTCCTAGTGCTAATACCTGCCATCCCTTGTTGCCACATGTTGTTGGATTCTGTGCCTTCTCCTTCTTAAGCAGTTTCCATTTTTATTAATAGAAACTGAAGAGTGTAGTAAAGTATGGTGTGATGGAAAGAATGCTGATCTGGCAGATAAGACCTAGAATTTTGTTCCACTGCTGTCACTTTTAACCTTCTTGTTACTGGTTATTGGTTTAGAGACTGGTGATCTTTTACAATCATTACTTTAAAATTTGTAATATTGGTACATGCTCAAAACAGTATAGAAAGTGCATAAAGTGGGAGCAGTGGGGAAGTCTCCCAAACTTCCTGTGCCAGTTTGCTCAGTTTCTTGTGTATTCTTGCAGTAGTTTTCTAGGCATATTCAAATATATGTGTTTATGTCAGCCCTTTTTACTCTCCTTTGCACAAATGGAAGATACTCTACATACCATTTCTCAACTTGTTTTTCTACTTAACAGTGTGTCTTTGACATCTTTTCATGTCAGTACATATAGATTTATTTCATTTTATAACAGCTGCATGTTATTCCACCTTATGGATGAACCTTAGATTCTTTGACCTAGTCTGGTGATTTTAAAGAGCCCCCCCCCCTTGATTACCCTGGTCCTTTTTTCTTTCTATCACAGTTCTTTTTTTTTCTAACATGGTTCTTACATGATATTTTATGTTTTCTGTTTTTTATAGTAAATATTGATATCCAGACTGACAATAATTTGACAGAGGAAATATATGAAGAAAAACATAATACATCATTTGAACTTCAAAGGAACTCTTCCCAGGAAACAGACTTTTCAGAAACTTATATTCTAGAGAAACAGCAGGAAGTCCACTCAGTAGGAAGTATGGAGAAAGAAAACAGGAGTGTCATTGATGGGACAGTGAAAGACAATATAAGCCCCATGGAGGAGTGTTTCTTTAGGCAAAGTCCAAACTTGAATCAGTGTCATACCATCTCCACTGGAGAGCAGTCCCCTGAGTGTACAGGATTGGAGAAAGCCTTCAGCTTTGACACAAAACTTATTCAACATGAAATAATAAATTCCGGGGAAAGACCTTTCAAATGTGAAGAATTAGTGGAAAGCTTTAGGTGTAACTCTCAACTTAATCAGGATCAAGATAGCTACACTGGGGAGAAGCCCCATCAGCGTAAGGAGTGTGGCAAAGCCTTTAGCGTTAATGCAAAATTAATTTGGCATCAAAGACTTCACAGTGGGGAGAAGCCCTTCAAATGTGTAGAGTGTGGAAAAAGCTTCAGTTACAGTTCCCATTATATCACACATCAGACTATCCACAGTGGGGAGAAGCCCTATCAGTGTAAGGTGTGTGGGAAAGCCTTCAGCGTTAATGGGAGTCTGAGTAGGCATCAGAGAATCCATACAGGAGAGAGGCCCTATCAGTGCAAGGAGTGTGGGAATGGCTTTAGCTGCAGTTCTGCATATATCACACATCAGAGAGTTCACACTGGAGAGAAACCTTACGAGTGTAATGACTGTGGGAAAGCTTTCAATGTTAATGCAAAATTAATTCAACATCAGAGGATCCACACTGGAGAGAAACCTTATGAATGTAATGAGTGTGGGAAAGGCTTCAGGTGCAGCTCCCAGCTTAGGCAGCATCAGAGCATCCACACTGGAGAGAGACCCTATCAGTGTAAGGAGTGTGGAAAAGCCTTTAGTAATAATGCAAAACTCATTCAGCATCAAAGAATTCACACAGGGGAGAAACCCTATGAGTGTACTGAATGTGGAAAAGCCTTTGGCGTCAAAGGGAAGTTAATCCAGCACCAGAGAATCCACACGGGTGAGAAACCCTATGAGTGTAAAGAATGTGGAAAAGCCTTCAGGTGTAATTCCCAGCTTCGGCAGCATCTGAGAATCCACACCGGGGAGAAGCCCTATGAGTGTAATGAGTGTGGAAAGGCCTTCAACGTTAATGCAAAACTAATGCAGCACCAGAGGATTCACACTGGGGAGAAGCCCTTTGAATGTAATGAGTGTGGGAAATGTTTTACTTCTAAAAGAAACCTGCTTGATCATCACCGAATCCACACTGGAGAAAAGCCTTATCAGTGTAAGGAATGTGGGAAAGCCTTCAGCATCAATGCCAAACTAACTAGGCATCAGAGAATACACACTGGGGAGAAACCATTCAAGTGTATGGAATGTGAGAAAGCATTTAGCTGTAGTTCTGACTATATTGTACATCAGAGAATCCATACTGGAGAGAAACCCTTTCAATGTAAGGAGTGTGGAAAAGCCTTCCATGTTAATGCCCATTTAATTCGGCATCAGAGAAGCCACACTGGGGAGAAACCCTTCAGATGTGTGGAGTGTGGCAAAGGCTTCAGCTATAGTTCTGACTGTATCATACATCAGACTGTCCATACTTGGAAGAAACCCTATGTGTGTAATGTGTGTGGGAAAGCCTTCAGGTTTAGCTTCCAACTTAGTCAGCATCAGAGTGTCCATAGTGAAGGAAAATCCTAATAAGGATGTAGAAAACTGTCAAGGTTAATGCTGAACTAGATTAAGTATCCTCAGATTCACCCTGAGAGAGAAATGGATATAGCAGAGTCTTCACAAGGAAACAAATCTTTTCCATTTTATTCAATTTTAGATCAAGAATGACAATCAGTTTTACATCCAAAAATAAGTGGTTTGTTTTATACCAACAACCAATAGAAAATATAATGAAAAGAAAATATCTCATTCCCAACAGCATCAAGAAAAGTTGATTTTCTAGATATAAACTTACTAGGACCTATGTGGAGAAATTATAAATCTCTGCTGAGGGGCACAAAAGGAAAGTTAAATAAATGGGGGGAGAGAGAGTGATACCTTGTTCTTAGATAGAAAAACTCATAAAGATACTACCTACCTAAATTAATTTATTGCCCTTTTACTTTTGACAACAAGCATGCATCACTTTTGTAAAGAGGAAAAACAATAAAGAGTTCCTTAAGGAAAAAATATGAGTAAATCTTTTTATTTTCATGCTATGGAGAAAAGCTTTCTAAGCATCAGATGAAAGCCAGAAACCAACCATGAGGGAAAATATTGATAAACTGACTTCAAAATGAAATATTTATGTTTTTGTTTTAAATAACCCCAAATAAGTTTAAAAGATAAAGCACAAAAAGTGGAAATACCTTTGTAAAATTTGTGATATAAAAGTATCATACAAAGAGGTCTTAAATTATGAGAAAAATAAATGAAAATAGCAAGCAGCTTTTAAGAAGATATAAAAATGACTAATAAAGGAAGATGTTCAGTCTCAGTAGTACTTAAGGAGTAAAAATTTAAAACAAGCATACAGTCACACATAGGAAGCCCTCCAACCTCTCTCCCACTGACAAGACAAACACAGAGACCCTCTTATAGACACACAGCGCCCCTTTCCCCATACCTGCTGCTGTGCTCTCTGTAGCTCGGGAGGCCCGTGTTGGCTGGGAATGCTGTCTTGGCGTACCTCAAAGGAGCCACTCCTGTCAGAAAGCTACTGATATGGTATAGGACCTCAGCAGAGTGTCCAGGCCCATTGTGTAAGTGACATTCCCCCCACCCCACCTGCATATGGGTGGAGGCAGATCCTGGAGCCCCCAGAACAGAGAGGAGGGAGCAGAGTCCTTCCCCCTGACCATCTGGCCCTGCTCCTGTGAGCAGCTCCAGACCATACAAAGAGACCCAGAAGTGCCCTGGGCCATGGGGTCCAAGTCCTTCATTTACTTATAGAGAAACTGAAGACCAGAGATGGATGGCACTGCCCCTGGTCACACAGCAAATCAGTGGCTGAGGTGGTCCATTACCCAGGCTGGAGGAGAGGTCAGAAGGCCATGGCTTACCCCAACCTTCCTAGATCATGAATCACCTCCAGATGGTCTCCAGATGTGACAGGGAAGATGGGGACTGGAAGTCCTGCTGTCCTGGCTCCCAGTGGGGTTTGGCAGTTTGTTTGCTGCAGCAGGACCAAGGCAAGGGCTCTAGGAGGGCTGAGAACCACTGAGGACAGGACCAGATGTTCCAGATCTGCCACCAATGTCCTGTGTGACCTTGGCCTCTGGGTCTCAGGCTCTTTCTCAGTGCAGGGTGGGGGCTAGTCCCAGGGCTCAACACCCTTCTCACCCAGTCGGTCCCTGAGGGTCTTCTCCCTCTCTGTAGCTTTGTTACTGTCCACAGCAGGTCCTTCTGTTCAGATCCCAAGGATATGAGGGTGAAGAAGGAAGATACCTGCAAAGTCTCATGAAGTCACGTGGTCCCATGGCCCAGGATTCCTGACACCCTGTAGTCTTGATGTTCACTACTCCAGCCAAGAGCTGCCTGGATTCAGTGGAGGCCTTATGAGGAAGGACAAAGAGGAGCCATGGCTCTGGATACCCTTTTCCCCTCACAAAGGCACCTCTTTTCTGAAAGGGAGCCATGAGCCTGGAAGGGTCAGGATTAAAGTAAGTTTCTCCCTCAGTCCAGGTCAGCATGTTCTGTCCCTGCAGCACAGGGCACTCTCCCACCCTGGCCTGTCGCCCTGGAAGGGGCCTCAGAGAACATCTGGTCCTGCCCTATCCAGGTCAGGAGGGGAAACAGGCTCAGTGGAAAACGCGGCTGCTGCGGGGCCCCAGCAGGACCAGGAAGCCTGGTGAGAGAGGTCCAAACACAGCTGGGAGGGTCCGTGGGTGGGTGGAGACAGGGCTTGGGTGTCATGTGCGGGGACGAGAGACTCAGCACAGCTCTCCCTGGGCTGGCAGCCCTCTCCTGGTGATGGGTCTGGAAGTTCTGAGGACAGGCACCTGGATGCTCTTCTGTCCTCTCTGCCTCTTAGGTCTCCATTCTCCCCAGACCACAGCCCCACCCTGTTGCTATCCTTTCTCCTGACAAGGAACTGAGGACACCCCTTCCCTTAACACAGTCCATTCAATTCAGTTGAACATTTGCACGCCCTTCCACGGGCCGGGGTTTGCCAAGTCCCAGGGAACCTGAGATGGGGGAACCTCGGCCACATCTCCCCTCGGCGAGCTCCCCGCAGCCCCTTCCGCCTGCTCTCGGGCCCCATTCACACCACAGACCACATGGTCTCAGCAAATCCAACACCTCACGTGGCTCCTGAGGCTTCCGCCTGGTCTGAGCCCCCTTTGCGGGGGCCCTGCGTTTTGCGCCTGCTCCTGGGCTGCCCGCGGCCTGACCGTCCCTCCGGCTCTGGCTTTCCCTCCCACCGCTCGCCAGCCCGTGAACGAGCAGGCCAGAGCCTGGGAGGTTCCAGTGCTCCTGAAGCGTGGCCCCCACCTCCTCCCGGCCACTGAAATCCCACCCACGCTCAGCCCGAGCCAGCCTCCAAGAAGCCCTCCCGGAAGCACAGCCGCACGCGCCTCTTCCGGCTGGTTTCCTCAGCCCGCCACGGTAAGGGATCGTTCTGCCACAGGTTTGGCGCGTCTGTCAGCCGTGCGTGGCCCGGGCGCCCAGGGCCCATGTGCTCCAGGCGGGGACCCGAGGCTCTGGGTTCCACCCCCCCACCCCCGCCCTGGGCCACAGGCGCGCGGCACTGGCAGACGGGTGGCGGCCTCTACCTGCCGCCTCCCTCCCCGCCGGCCTTGGGCGCACGCCTTCTCGCCCTGGGACCCCGTTTTGGCCTCGAGGTGAGACGGAGCGGGGAGGCCGGGCCTGCGCGTTCAGGGCCCTGAGGCCGGCGCTGTGGGCGTGAGAAGCCATTACGAGGCACTGGCCGCCAGCCTGGGCCCCCTGCTGCCCCTGACGGCCGGTCCGCTCACTGCAGGGCGGGAAGAAAACGACCGCGAGGCTGCCCGGGTCCCCCTCGGCGCGGGCCGGCTCTCCCTGCTCTGATCCCGCGGAGTCTCGCGCGCGGAGTCCTGGGGCAGCCGGTTTGACCTCTCCGCGGAAAATCTCCTGTGGCTCCGCGGGGTGGCGGGGGTGGGGGGTGGTGGACACGGTCTTAGAGGCCCTGGAGGACTGCAGGGATCCCTGACCGCGCGGAGCCGGGCTGCGGCCGGGACCCCGTGCCCTGAAGGCCAGTCAGAAGAACGCACACAACGCATTGCAAACTTTTCTTAAAAGAAGCACAGCCTGCTCCCCTCCCCCATCACCCATGAAATCTTGCTTAGAGGTCTATCTTGTAAGTGCACATATGTACAGCTGCTGCGAGGAGGGGGCAGTTGCCAGCGGGGCCCTGGGAGTGAAGGCCAGGGGTTTTGCTTAAACGTCCCTTGGGAGGTAAGAGGTCGATCCAGGATGGAAAGTGGAACGCAGGATTCAGAATGCAAGCGTTCGATAGCCAGGCCGCGGGCACGAGCTGGGTAGGAAGAACCGTACAAGATGGAGGAGGTGGGACCCGCCACCCTGCTTTCCTGGGAAGGGCTCCTGGGAAGGAGTGGTGAGTTGGAGGCTCCTCATGACAGGGAGGGCGGAAGAGAGAGGAAGCACAGGAACCAGGGGAACAATGAGGAGTGTCCCTTATACCCGGAGAACTCTCCCCCTCCCCCTTCAGATTGAGCTCAGACAAAGGCCACCTACCTTCGCTGGCCTCCCTGGTCTCCTAGGTTGGCATTGGGCCCCTGCTCTGGGTCCTCCGCCAGCTTTCTGCTCTCACCTCCGTCTAGTCTTTACCACTCTCTGCCTTCTCTACTTGGAGCTGCTGGTTTACCGGCTCGCCTTGTGGACCGCAAGGTCATTGGGGGTAGCGCATTGGGCCAGGCCGGAACTTGCTTGGGAATAATTTCTGAGCGGATGTCATCAGTGAATTAGTAAGGGAAGAAGTGTTTTTTTGCCTGTGTTTATATGGTTTATACATTTTCATCCACAACAGGCGCCCAGGTCAATTCTCCGGGGGCTCTAGTGAAGAAAGAGAAATTCTGGGGTGGGACAGCAGTATCCTGAGCACAACCATCGAGTGCACTGGGCTGTGAGCACAAACGTCTTACGGTCAAGTTAGAATTGGGTTGCTCTCCGACTGCCCACCAGAGGGCGCTCAAGCCCCTGCCCATTTGACTATAGCTGGCCAGGGTCTCGGCAGGGGTACCTGCATATGATTGGTTCTTCTCCTGAGAAAGCAAAGGTAAGAAAACCACCAGCTAAACTGTCTGGGGTTTGGTGGATAAAGAGGAAGAAGGAAAAAATGCTACTGGGACTTGCAAGGCCTCCAACTCATTGACACAATGTCTGTTTTTGTTTGTTTTTTAATTGTGGTAAAATTTACCATTTTACCTGTTTTAAAGTGTACAACCCAGTGGCAGTACGTACATTCACAGTGTTGTGCACCCATCACCACTGTCTAGGTTCAGAACTTTTTTATCACCCTAAGAGGAGCCCCATGCCCATTAAGCAGTTACTCCCCATACCCGCTGCCTTCCACCCCCTGGAAACAACTCATTTGCTTTCTCTCTCTATGGATTTGCCTGTTCTGGGTATTTCATGTAAATGGCCTCATACGATATGGAGCAGTTGTGTCTAGCTTTTTTCATAGCGTAATGTTTTCAAGGTTCATCCATGTTGTAGCATATATCTGTCCTCCGTTTGTTTTTATTGGTGACTAACATTCCATTGTATAGATATACCACTTCTTGTTTATCCATCCATCCGTTGATGGACACTTGGGTTGTTTGCACCTATTGGCTATTGTAAATAATGCTGCTGTGAAATTGGTGTAGAAAAATCTGAGCCTCTAATTTTCAGTTCTTTTAGGTATATAACTAGGAGTGGAATTGCTGGGTCATACTGTAATTCTATGTTTAACTTTTTGAGGAGCTGCCGAACTATTTTCCACAGTGGCTGCACCGTTTTACATTCCTGTCAGCCATGTGTGAGGGTTCCAATTTCTCCACATCCTTACCAACATTTATTATTTTTTGTAGTTTTGTTGTTGTTACATCCATCCTAGTGGGTGTGAAGTGGTACCTCATTGCGGTTTTGGTTTATATTTTCCTAATGATTACTGATGTTGAGCATCTTCTCTTT